ATGCCATTGGACGTTGACGTGATTGCCCTGCGGTGCCTGGGGCCTTCAAAGAAGCCAAGCACGTGCACACCACCAAATCCCACAGGGTTCCACCGTCCAGCTGGAGCCCAAGAATGGTCAGAAGGCACGGACAAACAACAATGCGGTCACTATAATGCGGTCATTCTGAAGCCCTTCAACCTCAATGTCCCGAATACTTTATCTATATAGATATATGTTATTCTCACAGTTCTATTCTATACCCATGTTCAAGCTCTTCTACCCGAAAGGCTCAGCAAATGCAGCAAAAATGCAGTAAGCCATGGCAAGCCTGCAAATCGAAACATGCAACAGGTCAAGCACGAGACCAAAAAAGCATCTTCCACAAAGGTCGTTTCGGCTGATCTGTGGGTACGTATCAACATCCCTCAAGAATCTCCACCAACTGGGCCTACACACTACCCGGCACGTCTGAAAGATCTTCCAAGTACCGGTTCATCATCTGCCGTTCACAACACTTTTGTCCCCCATGTGCAGGTGAATTCGTGGCAGAAATGGCGGCGGCCATCTCTCGGCCATGGAAGATAAAGATTCACCCCCAGCCCTGGAAGAATGTCGTGCACATACCCCTTGCAACACTTCTTGGGTTATATAATGGGCACATGAGTCGCTGGGAGAGCGGCTAGCTGGCAGCCTGGCCAACATGACCAGGTCTTGCACGTGGGCCCATCAAAATCCACCAAAGAACTGGCACGTCTCAGGATTCAGCCGCGGCTTTGAGGATCTTCAAGTACTCGTCCATCAAGTGAAATTCGCAGAGCCTCCTTGGTCCAGCTGCCGGGAATGAGGAACCATGTTTGCACCGAGGAAAATATTGAGCTTGTTGAAGGGACAACGGGACAACTCATGGATGTCGACCAAAGCCTACACGTCCGAAAATCAACAAAACGGGACAGTGGGACTCTGGAAAGAATCAGTTCGGTGTTAGTGGTGTTGGCGTCGCATGACACTGGGCCAACTGCATCCAAGCATCCGTGCGCAGGTCGCGTGTTCCTGTGGTGGAGGGCTGCACAAAAGCCACTCTACTTCCCCCGAGCACAGCCCACATCGAATAAACGAAGAATGCCAGGCAACGAAGGCCAAACGTCCGACCAGACCATAGCCGTGCCTGAAAAGGCGTGGTGCCACACGTGGCGGCACTGCCAAATGCGAGGTCATGCCAAGTCTTCCTTGACTACCGCCTAGCGTGCCCAAAAAAAGTAAGAATAACTATACCGGACTATGCGCCGCCAGTTCTGAAATCAAATGCTCCGCCTGAAGCGCTTGAACCTGTCGATGGTGTCTTGGAGGAAGGTGGGGCGCACATGAATGAATCCAGCGAGGGAGACCCCAATCCTCCGATTGTGAAGAGCAAGAGCAACTATACAGCTTACTGCACGTTGAGAGGCATCAACAAACCACATGTTCTACAAAAAATGCAGTGTAAGAAGGTGTCAAGAAGCGCGGGAGCCGTACCTGCATGCTGCATGTTTGAACTGTCTTGAACTCTTACAGCCATTGCATGCAAATGCCACACAGCAGCAAGTGCATCTCCCGGCAAAAGCTTTTGGGGAGCGGAACCCGAAATGAGATTTTCAAGGAAGCAGCCTGTTGGATGTAGGTGAGCTATGCAGCCCACAACCGGCTGAGACTCAAGAAGCTCGGTCCTCGCCAGCAGCTCCAGCCACTCCAGGCAAGCTGGCAACCGTGGAACAGGATCCCAGGCATTCCTGGACAAACACTAACAGAAAGATGTAGAAATGCATACCTGCGATTCTTGCAAAAGATGTTTGATTAGCCTGGCCTAGATTCGATTGAACGAATGGCATTCAACAAGGCCATTTTGGCATGTACCCAGCACGAAACACGGTCCTTTGGTATGTGACTGAGTGTCACATCTCATCATCTTGCACATCCCCATTCATGGTTCTACATCCGTCTCTAAAGGGCATCTATCACTCTGCAAGATCGACCGGCAGGAACACCCCGTCAACACAAACGCCCAGCAACGTGGAATCCACCACTTTGAGAGCCTCTTCTTGGATCCCTTTCTGTGCCAACTCCCTGTTACTTTAATTTCCTTAAGGGAATTCCCAAACCAAGCTTCACATAAAGCGTGGTGATCTCGTCCAACCACCGGCAGCCAGGGTTGTCCATGTCAGGCACCAAGACTTGCGGGGCACCGAAGGTCACCACCTGCGTGACGTGAAAGCCACGGTAGAGCAAGAAGAGGGCGGCCAGGATCGCGTAGCCTCCCCCAAGCGAATGGCCACACAAAATCACCTCCTTCGCGTTCTGCACAGAAACGCTCCCCAGGCATTCCTCTAGCTCATCTAGCACACTCTTGCCATCTGGAGGCTTGTGCTGCAACCCCCCTGAGATGCCATTGTGAACCCGCATGTCGCAGAAGTCCGTGAGAGTCAGATCAAAATCGATCACCACATCCACAAAGTTGTCGGTCCCTTTGAAGGTCACATAGAAGGCATCCTCATCTTCCAGGACTGCCCACTGCACTGGTGTTGGATTCTCATCACCCATCTGCCTGAGCACGTGCAAGTTGATGTTCAGTAACCCTCCCAAACCTGTCAACTCCTCTCGTTTCGGACTGTAGATCCACTTCGCCAAGCAGGCCGCTTTCAGGTGACCGGGATTCATATGGCCTGCCTCACCAACTGTGTGTAGAGGGAAGTGCTGCAAAGAACTTCCCGTGCATTCCGACACCAGCGTCGACTGAGATCCTTGTGACTGTGACGTGCAAGACTGACTCCCGAGCGCATGGGAATTCAACAAGTTGAGGCCCAAATAGTTCAAGGGCTTCACGATCGCAGCCACACGAACCCACCGAGCATTCGGAATCTCGAGAACCTCAGGGCCAAACCGACCTACCAAAAAAAACTACAGTACATACACTTTGTCTCACTAAACATGGAAATGGAAAATGGTGCAATGGCGCCTTAAGACTTCAGACCGTTAAATATGCATACCTTGTCTGCCTGGCTGTGGAATTGGCATCCCGGGGTTTAGCACACCGCCTCGTCACATACGCATTTGGAGATTTTGCTTTGCAATGGCCCCTTGGCTGTGTAGCCAGATAGGGCTACAATTCTGCCTGGGGCGGCAAAGTTAGCCATGGGCTTGCGTTGATGAATCTCTTGTGGCTGTCTCGGCTGGTCGGGTTTGAAGAAATGCTTTTCCAACATCTTGTTCAATGCCTTACACTGCAAGCTTTCCCTCCCTTGGGCTGCGCCGAGAATGCTTTCTGGTTTTTCCTATGCCTTGGGCTGCACAGCTGCGATTTGCTTTTCAATATCTGCTGTGGCTGACTCGGCTGGTCCGGTTTGAGGAAATGTGTGTGTTTTTTTTCTATGCCTTGGGCTGCCAAGCTGCAACTTTGCCTTTAATATATAGTCCCCCCCTTGGCTGTCTTGCCTGGTGGCTGCAGGAAATGTGTTTATGAGTCAGTATGCAATTGTCCCTGTCCCTTCGGGTTGCAGGAAACGTTTTATGAAAGAAATGCTTTCTGTGTCTTGACCGCGTAACTCCAGCTAATACACCTCGCTACCTCGGCTGGGGCCGCTTGAATTTGTAGAGTTTAATGAATGAGGGGAATGCATTTTACGACTCAAATGCATGTCCCTCGCAATGGGCTTTGGCCGTAGCCCACCTGCAATTGCGCATGGGAATCTGGAACACAAGCATTGTACACAGCCTGCGCCACATGGTGACAATTGCTTCTTGCCAAGTCGTACTTGCCTGTGCTCATGGCCACCTCCCAAAGCCTTTTCATGGTCAAAGCCGCCCCGACGTTGTTCAATGTTTGCAGTGAAGGCCTTGGACTGAGCTGACTTCGGATTCCCGAGTGGTGTGGCATGGTAAGCCACCCTTTCCGGAAGGATTGTTCAACAAAATGCCATCCTTCAGAGCACAGAGGGAAGAGCCAAACATTTTGACTTGAATCAGGAGGAGATGAACAAAAATCACAAAACCCATTAGTAAAAAGATCATCTGCAGTCCAATCAAACCTGATCAGGAAGTGGGTGGATCAACCCGAAACACGCCCAGAAATAATTGATCCAGCCTTGGCCCCCTTTTCGAACAGAATCCTTTCCAGCGGCCCCCCAAAGCGATGACCGATGCAACTGTCTCCCTGAATATATACATCGTGAACGTACAAGAACTGCGCGAAGCAAAACACAATGAAGGCATCAGCATCGAGAGCGAACTGCTCACTGGACTTCGAACATGGTCAAGCAAATGAGACAAATCAAGCTCTCTCAACGAAAACCACAAGTCACAAGAACTCTGAGTCAGTACATTGTCTTAAGCATACTTAAGCACCCATCACCAGCACAGGCATGACGGAACACCATCACCACCGGCACACCACTGGGACACCATAGCGGTCGAAGACAAACGTTCAGGGTCACTGACCAAAAATGCTCTGTGGGCATGTGCGAAACTAAAGGCAAACCGTTCACTGTTCTTGACGAACACCTCCCAACAGAAGAAAAAAATCAAGCCAAAAAGCAAAGTGATCATTGAAGTCACTTCGGACCAACAAGAGATGTAAATCCCATTCTGATACTCTTCACCTGCGTCTTCACGTTGCGATGCAGCTTTCTCCAGAACATATGTCCGGGATGACTGGCTTTGATCCTCGCGGACGGTGATCGCGAGCAGGGAGTGAATCAGTCCAAGCATTCGAGGTGCACCATTCAACCTGATCAAAAAGAAACAGCGAGACACGCCGAACGCCCCAGGTGCTCATTTGGGTTGGTGAGTAATTAGATTAGATGGAGATTCCTTCAGATTGAGATTGGGTCAAGGCTGAGATTAAGGGAAATGTTGGTGTCTAGAATGGCGAGAGAAACAAGGAATTTACCAGCAAGCAGGGAGGGAGCCACACAAATATTGTGCCGTCCAAGATTGGTAGCACGACCTGCCGCCTGCTTCGGGTCTCTTTCACACCTCCGACCACACCCAACTTGTTGCCACACAAGTCACTTGATCTGATGCCACTCCACTTTGACCACAGCCCTCTCATCCTGCATTGCCTCATGATAGGCGGCGCCTGATCCACCGCGGGTGCTGCCCAACCGGTAGTGCTGGCGGAACCAACTTGCGAGTGTATGATGACCAGTCATGGTAGCACGCTCCTCAGGTGTCTGCCCAAACTGATCCTCGAGGGATGAAAAACATGTGGCATGGATGGTTGGAGAGGGGATGAGGTCAATGATGTGGAAGGCTACAAGCATTCTG